GGGGGAATCCTGAGTTCTGTGTCCGGTGAAAACATCCTTTAACAACCGGCCTGGAAGCGGAAGACACTGTCAGCCGCGGGGATGTGCTGTGAGCCCGGCTGCTCTGCAGGGAATAACGAAAGGCGCGCCCAGTGGAAGCGGCGCCTTCCAGATCCAGGAGGCGATGAAGAAGAATGAATAAAGGTGAGCGAAGATGAAAATTCTTAGCGATTAATTTAAAAACGCAAGCACCTTACTACAAAGTGAAAACTAGAAATATTTTAGCGCTACTCTTACTCCTATGTCCCTTTATGCCTGTCACGTTATTTAAAAAACAACATTCACTGGACAGCGAGCACAGATTTCCCCCGCCCGCCCCTTTGAAGACGTCCGTCCTTTCCTGTCTGGGGTCTGTGCCCAGCCGGAGCAGCTCCCCGGCTGCCGCGGCCCTGCAGTGCTGCTCCCCCAGTGCAGCTTCTCCCTCAGGGTCAGCAGTTCTAGGGCCACACGACCTTTCTTCTAAGTGAAAAAAAAATGCTAATAGTGTAAAGTGACTAAAACCACTTTGTTTCAACCCCGGGTGGCTGCCACGAGGGCTGCAGGGCAACATTCTGCTCCCCATGACAGCCGCGGCGGGCTGCGGGCCCGGGGCCGGGAGAGACGCTTCTAGCCCGGTGGCCCAGCTAACTCGAGCGGCCCGGCCCGGCCTCCCCCCTGCGCGGCGTCCCGGGAGCGGGCGAGCAAGGCCCCGGGCACGCTCACTCGGGCACCTGCACGGCCAGGGCCGACGCCAGGTCCGTGCTGTCGTGCCTGCAATGTGTTGCGGCGCCGCTGGCAGAGGCTCTGCAGCCAGGGGAGTCGCGCACCGCCTGCCGCTCGCCGCCCGGAGGTGCTGGCCGCTGGCCCGCGGGCTTGTGTGTCTGCACTGAGGGGGAGACGGAGCTGGGGCTGGGGGGCTGCGGAGTGGACTGCACCTGCCCGTGCCCTCCCTGCAGCCGGCCTGAGGGGGGCGGAGGCACCGAGGCCTTGGGGTGGGGCTCCGAGGGCCACCTCAGGGGAGCGAGAGGAGAGCAGGGCCGGCAGGCGAAGCCCAGTGCCAGGGAAACTTGTCTGGGTCGGGGGCTCGGCTGGAGGCCGAAGCCCCAGAGTCTGTGGGCCAGTATGGCCCGGCCGGCGTCCCGGGTGGTGGTTTTCCCGAGGCGAGCAGCTGACCCTCTCCCTTTGAGGGAGAACGGGGGCTTTGCAGGAGTTTTCAGGAAATCATCATGACTCGCCTGCGGCGGGGCCGCGTCGTTCACGGTACACACGGGATGAACAGGCACAGGGTCCACCACCCCCCACCAGGCCACCGAGACCCCCACAGTCCACTGTGGGCCAGAGTCCACTGTGCCTCCTTCCACGCTGCCCCCTCTGTCCACCCCTGTCGCCCCAATTCCATAGTTAGATTTCCAGGTTTCTCATGACGTGGCTTTGCCTGACCGTGTTGTTTCTCTGTGCCGCACGTCAGCATCTGGCATTTGTCTTTCTCCCTCTCAGCATCACCCTGTCCAGTTCCATCCACGTGGTCACAAATGGCAGCAGTGTCTTGGAGCTGAGTAGAGCCCATTCTGCACGTGTGCATCTGTGTAAGCCACGCCTGGCTCCTACCCCGGGTGGGTTGTTTCCGTGACTGGCCATTGTGCTGCAGTGAACTTGGAAATGCCGAAGGATATCGTTACTTTAAAAAAGGAAAACGAAGATATGGTCTTCTAAATTAGAATCTCCCAGAATTGAGTGGATTTAGTTGGGAAAGGGAGTAAAGAAAAAATGGAGCTATGGGGCTCGGGGAGAGCAGCGCTCCGCTCAGTGTGGCCGCATCTCAGCTGCGCGTGGGCGCGGGGGTGAGGGAAGCAGCTATCACGTGGGCTTTGCACCTGCTTCCTCGCCTAAGGTCACAGCGTCCGATGATGATGACAGACCGGGCAGCAGAGGAATGCTGGGCTCTGGTTCATTAACGTGTCTCGTTAACTTGTGGTTAACTAGACAACTTTTTGAGTTTTCTCTCCACATGAGACGTATGTAAAACAAAGTCCAAGTCGTTGCCTGGCCACGCCGTGCGTGTGCATCACAGTGCCCTCAACTGTGTATTTCTTTACGTGCATACTCAGGAGGAGCCCGTGGGTGCGTGGAGCTGGAAGGGGGGGGAGCTGCTCGCTGAGCATTTGCCAAGGCCTCAGGGTCCCCTGTGACGGGAGCTTCAAAGGGCGCAGATGACCCTTTCCGCCCGGGGTTTGGGAAGCCTGGGTGTGAACTGACAGTGTTTTACTGGGAAGTGGAAGGAAAGGCTGACAGGACACTTCTGAGCCCGGTGTTAGCCGTATTCCCGTGTGCATTTACAGTCGCGGACACTCACGGGTCCTCTGTGGGCCGTTGTTTGACCTGCCTATGAGTCAGCCTTAGCCAGAGGCGTCTTAAACAGGGGGTGAGGATCCTTAGAATTGGTGAGTCCAAGAGTGTGAGTTGGGAGTGAAATGTTTGCATCTCTAGAAACACTACTCTAGGGTGACCAAAAGGGTCACCTTATTCACCTTTGATTGGGGACGAGTATTCCATTGTGTATAGAGACCACAGTCATCTTTTTGGGGGCATTTGGGTTGTTTCCATACCTTACCTATTGTAGATAGTGCTGCAATAAACATCGGGGTGCAGGTGCCCTTTGGGTAGCTCCATAGTAATGGAATTGTGGGGCCTGTGGAAGCTCTATTTTTAGTAGTTTGAGGAAAAATATTGGTGGTTTCACTTATGGGAGGAATGTAGGGAACCGAATAAGGGACCAGGAGAGAAAAATAATTAGCAATTGCCTGTTAATTTTGTTGATTATAATCAGAGACAGTGTGCAGGGGCAGGGAGTATGATCTCACGCCAGGGGCGAGGGTGTGTGGGTGAACTGGTGGCGGGAGGAATGGTGTAAACTGTAGATAAAACATAATAAACACTAATAACTAGGGGTTTTTATTAAGTTGTGAGCATCAGCACAAGATCTTGTGCTCTTTCCTGCCCTGTTGTGACCCCTGTTCCTCCCCTCCCCTGCTGACCAGAGATGCGTCACTGAATCAGTGTAGGAAAGTGGAAAGACAAGTGGAAAGAGATGCTTTCATAAAGTGCATGGGCTTTGAATGTGGTGCTAAATTTGGTGCCATAAAAATTTTGTAATCATGAAACAAGAAAAAACTTTAAAGTTTATTCATAAAGACCACTGGGCATTGTTTTGAATTTTTAATCAGAAAAAAATCACAAATTTCGATATTTTAATATTACCTTTTTATTGAGGTATCCTTGGCTTACAACAGTGTATATTTTAGGGTTCTAGGTATAGTTCCTGAGGCTCCCTGGCTCCCTCCCTTTGGTCTCTACACCCTCCTACTCATTGTGTACATTCAAAGAAAGTTCATGTCTGCGAATTTCAAGTTATGGCATTTTAAAGTGGTGTCTCAGATTCATTGGGAAAGACCTCACTACTTCCCATGACGCAGGCCGACAGTGAGTTTTTAAGAAGTGTAATGCAGTTGTGTGATCTCTCCATCCTGAAATAGAAGTGAAGGGCTAGTGAAGTGCGTTGATGGGCCCATGTACTGATGAGGGACAGGTGGTCTTAAGGAGCTTGTTTTACAGGTCCTGCCTCTTGCGTCAGTTTCGAGATCCTTAATAGGCGGTGTGAAACCCTGCAGGCTGGTAGGCCTCCCTGGTGGCGCAGGGGCTTAAGGCTCAGTGCTATCAATGCAACGGCCTGAGTTCGAGCCCCGGCCAGGGAGCCTCACGCAGGTATAGGTGCGGCGGACCTGTTGTGTCGTCTGCTGCGTGTGCGTGTAGAGTGTGCGTGTAGAGTGTGCGTGTAGAGTGTGCGTGTAGAGTGTGCGTGTAGAGTGTGCGTGTAGAGTGTGCGTGTAGAGTGTGCGTGTAGAGTGTGCGTGTAGAGTGTGCGTGTAGAGTGTGCGTGTAGAGTGTGCGTGTAGAGTGTGCGGCGGGTGGGGACCAGGCAGCTGAGACTCAGGCCGCAAAACATGAGCCTCTCGGAGGCAAGACGCATGGCTGCTGCGCCAGTTCTCACCACACCGCATGTCCTGAGGACATAGCAGGCTGGGAAAAAAAGAGGGAGCAATGTTCTCATCGAAAAGTAGCTAGAGCGTCCTTGTGGGGTGGGTCTACTAGGAATTTCGAAAAACTGTCCACCATGATGAACCTGGAACCCTCCCGTACAAGACTCTATGACAATGAAAAACAAGCAGAGATGTGGTTTTCCGCTTTCAAGCCGAGTATTGTTAAATGATCAATATTTCACCCTTTAGATGGAGCAGCAAAGAAGACACATTGGAAATTGGCAGGTGCAATGTCATCTGATGGATTTGGTTGCATGATGTGAAGTCTCTTCCCTCTTCTAAGTCTGATCTCATTTGAAGAATTAAGTACATTTAAAATTATTTTTAGCCAAAACATTCAGTCACTTCTTTCACTATTTCTGATATAATGAATGCAAATGCACAATGAAAGCTGTTGTTTTTCTTGCCACATTCTCCTCACACATTCAAGAAATAGCTATAACCTGAAAGAAATGCAAATGGTATTGGTGTTAGTTCTGAAAAACACAGGGAAGGCTGCAGTACACGGTGGAGAAATAGGAGGGTACTGGAAGTTTCTGAGAAGAGAAAATGAAAAAAAAAAAAAAACCTGTAATGAGGATAAACTCAAAAATCTAGAGAACACTATTAATAATTGTTAAAAAAAAAACCAAAACCAAACAGCACATAGAAGGACCCGTTAGTGCTAAAGTTCAAGAGTCCCTCTCTCGTGAAAATTTTACATAAAATATCACATGATAAATGAAATGCCATGTATCAGCACAAACTTGTAGGAAACAGGTGCCCAGAATTTTTCTCACTTCTTACTTGAGTGTTATCCAATCTGTGGCTATTGAATTAAAAGTAAACTTTAAACTTTACGTTACTTGTAACTGAAACTTTTAAACTTTCACTTCATTTCCACAGTGACATCAGCCAGGCTGCACCTGCTTCAGAGGATGAGTGGTTTCCATATTGGAAAGGACCATAATTGAACATTTCTGTTGTCAAACCGTTTATTAATGACACTGCTCAAGATTATTAAAAGAGGTGATTTGGGGAATGGCAAAAGCTATCCTGAGGATAAAAGCACCGCATGGAGGTAGGCACGCCCCACTTCAAACTACGCTGCAGAGCACTAGTAATTAAAGCAGCATGAACTGAGAGTCAAGTGGCGATTCAGAGCAACGGAGCATCATGGAGAGCCCAGAAATAAAACCACACATCGGTGGATAACTGGGCAAGAAAAGTCTCTTCTGTAAATGGTGTTGGGAAAGCTGGATCACAGTCTTACAGCAACACAAAAATCAGTTCAAACTGGATTAAAGACTTGGATGTGAGACCTGAAATCATAAAGTCCAGAGACTCAGATGGAGTGGGACCGTTCCTGGGCCTTTGTCTGTGAGATGTGTTTGAGGACTGGACTGCCATGGGGGAAACAAAAGCAAAAATCAACCCATGGGACCACATCAAGCTAAAAAGCTTCTGCACAGCAGGAGAAACTGTCATCACAATGGAAAAAGACATCCTGCTGGGTGGGAAAAGGTATTTGCACATTGTACGTTCAACCAGGAGTTAATATTCAGAAGATACGAAGGACCCATACGTCTGAACAACGACAAAACAACCTGAGGAGAACACGGGGCAAGGATTTGGGCAGAGCTTTGTCCGGGGAAAACATGGTCATCAGCTCAGAGAGATGCTCACCGTCTCTCTCCAGAGAAACGCAAATCCAGGCAACCAGGAGGCCTCACCTCACGCCTGTGAGAACAGCCACTGTCCCCAAGACAAGAAATGACCCCTGTTGGGTTGGATGTGCAGGGGAGGGGTCCTGTCAGATGTAAACTGCATCAGCCCTTCAGAAAGCAGCGTGGAGATGCCTCGAAACTGTAACCCCAGTTACCCCACCACTGAGTGCTCACCCAGAAATACAAAAACACTAATTCAAAAAGATGTAAAGCAACCCCCACCCCCACCCTGCCACGCACATTCACCGCAGCATTATTCACCACAGTTTAGAGCTGGAAACAACTTATGTGCCCACTGACTGACAGATGGACCCAGAAGATGCGGCATCTACACACTATACAGCCATCTACACCTCTGTCTGAGGAGGAAATCTGGGCCTCTCTGGTGGCGCAGGGGGTTAAGCACAGCACTAGGAAGCAATCAGCAGCTTGAACAGCCTGAGTTCCATCCCCCCGGCCAGGCAGGGAGCAACCCACAGGGCACAGCAGACCTCTCCTGTCTCCCCGCTGCTCCCCTCAGCAGTGGATTTCAGTGGATCCACCTGTTCTGCTCCCCACTCTGTCTCTGGGGAGTCCTCTCAGCCCCACACCTCCGGCCTGCACCCCAGCTCTTGTGTGCATAAATAAATAAATCTTAAAAAAAAAATAAAGATGAAATGCTCCCACTTTGCAATTTCACTCATAAAGGTTATATGGAAAATCCTCCCATTTCACTCACATGTGCATATAGAAAAAATGAAGTGAAAAATAAACTCTTGTAAGATCAAGGATTTGCTGCGGCAGAGAAGGGGTGGGGAGGGGTGAGCAGGGAAATTGGGTAAAGGGGAAATATGTTGGCAAAGGACGGAACGGGACCTTCAGTGGTGACCTTAACACGGCGCAGACACATGGTTTATAGGGAATCACCCCGAGAACTCAGGTTAGAAAGTGTTACTTGAGAAAACTGGGCAGGAAGTAGATTCACAAGCATTTGTGTGTGTTGGGGGGGGGGGATTTGATATGAGTCTAAGGACTTAGAAACTTCTGAGACATGAAATCAGTCACCTAAAATGATTACATCCTAAGAGTGAGAGACTTAAGTCTTTATTTTATTAACTACATTTAAAATCTGAAAAAGTAGCGACGACTCTGTCAACCCCTTTTTTTTTTTTTTTAAAGACTTATTTTTTTATTTATTTATCCAAGCACCGGGTACAGTCAGAAGCGCGGGAGGGTGAGAGGATTCACCAGAGCCAGAGCGGGGAGCAGAGCAGGCAGAAGGACCGAAGGACACTGCTGAGGGGAGCAGCGGGCGGCAGGAGAGGTCTGCGCGCCATGCGGGACCCTCCTCCGGTGGCCGGGGAGCAGCCGGGGATCGAACCGGCGCATCAGAGGCTGCGGGCAGCTTCGCAACCCAGCGCTCCACCGCTGCGCCACCAGGGAGGCCCTGTCAACCCCCTTCTTTCAAATGAATCAGTCGCGAGCGACCCGCCTACACTCCACTCAGTGTTGACCAGGATTGTGGGCTTTACGGAGCCTTTTCTGACTGGCTGTGCAGTACACACGCTGCTCCTCCTCAGCACATCGGATGCCTTAAAAACAGCCCTAAGTCGGCTGCAGCGCTCACGTCGGACAGTTGAACGGTTGCTGTGTCCGTGCTCAACGCCTAGAGATGTTGCACATCTTCCCCAGTCAAAGACCTGTTGGTGTCCACGGGAAAAGGCGAACAGGCCTGGTGGGACACCTGTCTGGGCCACCAGAGACGGGGTACCCCGGCCCTCAGGCGGACCCTCGGGGATGGCGTGTCAGATTAAATCGTCGCAGCGCAAGGTGGGAGTGGAGCGCCAGGCAGGGCGTGTGTGCTACGTGACCCGGGGCTCGGGCAGCGGAGCTGGGTCCGGGGGCCCCACAAACACGAAGCAGGGGGCAAACCCGGAGGACAAAAATTTACTGGCTTATTGAGGCTTCCAGAGACACCCCCAAGCAGATGGCGTTCAGAAAGCCACAGGACAGGCCGCGGAATGACGGGTGAGCTCGGGCCTCAGCGCCAGAGTCTCCCCTTTACGCAGCTCAAGCCGAGCCCCAAGGTGGCGGCGCCTGCGGGAGCTCCGGGAGGCACCTCGTGCCAAGGCGCAGTCGGGGACCAGGACATGACTGCAGGGAGAGAGCGAGAGGCGAGAGACGGGGCAGCCCTTCCTGGCCGTCTGTGGGGGGCACGGGGACAGGGCTGCTCTCCTGGGCCAGGGGGACTCTGCGAGGTCCCCACAAGCACATTGAGAGCTCCCCAGGCCAGGTCTCCGGGGAGGGGTGCCTTGCTCCAGCCTCCCAGTGTCCCCAGGCATCGCCTCCCCCATGGAAAGACAGAGTGCAGCAGACTCAGGTCAAGGGCGAGCGGCCAGTCCTTTCATAGAGTGGAGCGAGGACACTTCCATCCCCGTCTCCCCAGGGCAGAGAGGACCCCAGTGAAAACCAACCTTGCTGCTTTGTGGATGGCACGTCCATGCCCGTGAGGAATCGAGTGGGGAGGGTCCACGCGGACACAGAGGATGCTGGTCACTTCCAGTGGCCTTTCGCGTCTCCCAAGAGTCTCCAGTGGAGAAATCAAAAGGACAATTCAAAGCAACCACACGGCCTTTGCGGCGGGCGTGACCGGGATGTCCGCGGAGGGAAAGCCAAGTGAGAGTGAAGCAACGCGTGTGTGCAAAGCGAGAAGTGCGCTACTGCCTTTCCTGGGGGCGGGGGTGACTATTCGTGTTTAAAGGTGCGAAAGGAGCTTCGGCCAAGCCCCCCAGCTCCCAGAGTCACGCTGCCGGCCGCCCGTGCAGACAGGGCTGTGGCTCTGAGACAAAAGGAAGGTGGACCCACGGCCTCATCTGCTCCTTATGAGACGCTGTTTTAATGTGTGACTCTTGAGCTGTGAGCTGTGAGTCCATCCAGTTCTTTAAAGAGAAAAGATCCTGAGATCAAACCATCCCTCGAGGACCAGGTGCCAAGAGCCTGGGTCTTCACAGCCGCTCCCCGCACCTGGGTCCCGTGTCTAGGGAAGGCCCCACTTTCATCTTTTCTTGCTAATCACACTAGGAGTCACGGCAGCAACACCAGCAAAAACGACACAACTTACAGAGACAGACGTCAAGACTCCCCCGCGGCCTGCTCACGTGGCTGCAGACAAGTCTCTACGATGTGATGAAGCCAGAGTTGAATTTCCATTCCAGAACGCTCCTTCCTCAGGCAACCTGAATTTGCCGCGTCATCCTCTGAAAACTCTTCCTTTAGATACTCGGTGGCTCGTCTTTCTACTGCTGTCGGAATGTCGCTCAAATGTCACCATCTTGTTGACACTGTCCAGGCCTCCCTCTTTCAAGGGCAACACCTGGCCTCTCAGCAGTCTTCACCCCCTGCCCTGCTCCGTTCCTCCCTCCACCACACACACGTTCCGTCTGACATCCCTTATTAGTTACCCTGCCTATTGCTCCTCCTTCCCCCGCAGGAGAAGCTCTGGGTCTGTCTACACGGACAGGGTTTGGCAACCACGGTGCCCTCAGAGTGATGGTGACTGAGTTAACGACAGAGTCACAGCTAATGGGCGGAGGACACAATCTCAGCTTGCGATTTCTGATGACATGTTCAGTTTGGTTTTCTAAATACCCTTCACAGCACGTTTCCATCCAGAAGGGTTGACAGAGAGTTGTATTGGCTCAACTATGGGTAACAAAGACCAAATGAGACCCTTCATTCTGTATCGAGAGCTGACAGAGTCTTGGGTGAGCTCAAGTCCTCAAACACAGCCGTAGCAAAGTCAACATTTTGACTTTTTGGTTTATTTTTTAGTCCATTCACTTGAACCTTATCGTCATGCAAGTTTCCCACCATGTTGACAGATATTTAGATTATATTTGCATAAAATAAATAAAAATGGAACTCCACTTCCAACGCTTTACCGTCTGAAGGGAGGCTGCTCCTTTACTAGAGTCTGCATTAGAAAGTTCAGGTGACAGAAGACAAAAAAATTTTTTGCTAAATCTAAATTGATAGCCCTGGATAGTGGAATTGGTTAACTAGTCATCGGGAAAGAAAGAATTCATTTGATACCCTAAGATGCTTGTGGTGAGTGCTCAGAACAGCACACAGTCCATCCAGCCTGTTCTTCACTACAGAAGGGCCTTGAGGATCCTCTACCCCCAGGTGGGACTCTCACATCTTCCTCTTCAGTTCTGCAGTGATCAGTGAATTTTGAGCTTTGCAGAAATGTCCACTTGTGACTTAATATGACAGAACTCTTGTCAGGCAAATTGAATAAGAGAGCTTAAAGAATATTTACTATGAAGTAGGGGATTTTTTTAAAAGCCCTGTAATTGAAGAGAAATCT